GCATTAACTAACAAGATTTTCTTTCAACAGACGAACAGGTGACTCAAACTGAAGAGCAAATAGAATCTAAAACCATAGATATAGACGGTAAGCACTGGTTACCGAAAATGTAATTGATTATTTTAAAAAAAATTAAAAACAATCTTTTCTCATAGAACATACAGAATAAAGTGCATTCACTCACATAACACGATCTTCAAAGCTCACAAAATGTAATAAATAATAAAAACCACCAACTTGGACAAAAATAATGCATGTTTAGTTATAGTATGTGATCATACGCCTGTCTCAACGCCCATGTACCCCATTCTTGGCAGATCCTAACCTAGCAACCTAATGCCTGCTCTTATGAGATTAGCCCACTCACCTGGAAAATCCATCATCCCAGGGCACTCTGCAGTACAAGATTAAATAGGACCCTGGAATAAGTTGCCTGTGACCAGAAAGGGATGCAAAACTAAGGGAGTTGTTCTGCACTTAAAGGGTCACTCTAGACCCCTAAATAACTTTAGCTTGCTGAAAAGCTTTATGTGTGAATAGTGTGTCCTCTTTTTTTTTTTTTACAAATATTAAATGTATGGAATATTTTAGTGAATATATCTGCTTGACATCAATTATTTTATATACCTTGATATATTTATAAAATTTTTCTTTTCTTCAGAAAAACCTGCTGTAGATAACAGACCGACTGAAGATGCCAGAGGTTTGTATATTTCACCTTGGAACATTATTGATTGTCTCTTGTCAAGTTAAAGTTATTTAATTTAAATTGGAAAAGTTTAGAAAAGCATTCCCACATGGATAAAAAAAAAAATCAAATCAAATGTGAATATTCCCAGGAATTTTAACAGCCCTTTCGTATTTTCAGAAAGTATTGCTTAGAACACTATGGAAACTATGGTGCAAAAATTACCCCGCAGAGATAATGTGCAAAAAATAAATTACGAATTAAAAAACAAGAAACAGAAGTCTCATCTAATGTTTTCCATTGAGCACTGTTTAGGTTGGGTATTTCTAAATCTGCAGGCAAACTCTTATCACGCTTGGAATAAACGCCTACCATTTTCATTCTGAGTTTCCTGCATTTGCTTCAAATCTATCAGGCTTTGCAACGTCTGCAGTGAGCTTTGCCTGAACAATGAAGTGAGTTACTAGATCATGGTACTCGCTTAACTTTTTTCTAGAATACTGCAATGTATACAGAAAGCAAAGCTTTAAAGGCACAGCATGGGATTCTGGAAGTTGTAGTTGTAGCCATTATTAGCTTTCTATTTTACAGCAATATTAGAAGAGCATAAACTGTGATAGGCTTATACGTACGGCTACAGCAGGTTTTGCAGGGTCCGTGAGACGGATACTCTGGCTTCTCTCTGCACCATAACATTTCTTTTTTTACCAATTCATTTTTATTGAATATTTTAAAATTATATAAATAGGCATACAGTCAAATTCTCATCCTACAATCTAGTGTGTATAATCAACATAGTCTACAATTATTATACAATCATATAGTAGATAGAGTTCAATCAGTATGTATTGACAAATATAATCTTACAACAAACCAGACAGTTACTGGGTCTATCTAGAGCAAAAATATAGCGTAAAACATGGAGAGAAGAGACAAAGAGAGAGGGGGGAAAAAAAACTCTGTCTTCCAATAATTATTGCAGTTATGTAATTAAAAGTTTTCTCCCTTTCTTCTTCCCTTACTATCTCTCAAGGCTCTGTATATGGGGGCAATCTTGGGGGTAGATCATTCACAGAGTAGGTTAGTTCAGAAGATCACTGGCCTGGCTTGAAACTTTCATAGTATAAAATCCATGGAGCCCATATTTTATTTCTATGTATACAGGGAGTGCAGAATTATTAGGCAAGTTGTATTTTTGAGGATTAATTTTATTATTGAACAACAACCATGTTCTCAATGAACCCAAAAAACTCATTAATATCAAAGCTGAATATTTTTGGAAGTAGTTTTTAGTTTGTTTTTAGTTTTAGCTATGTTAGGGGGATATCTGTGTGTGCAGGTGACTATTACTGTGCATAATTATTAGGCAACTTAACAAAAAACAAATATATACCCATTTCAATTATTTATTATTACCAGTGAAACCAATATAACATCTCAACATTCACAAATATACATTTCTGACATTCAAAAACAAAACAAAAACAAATCAGTGACCAATATAGCCACCTTTCTTTGCAAGGACACTCAAAAGCCTGCCATCCATGGATTCTGTCAGTGTTTTGATCTGTTCACCATCAACATTGCGTGCAGCAGCAACCACAGCCTCCCAGACACTGTTCAGAGAGGTGTACTGTTTTCCCTCCTTGTAAATCTCACATTTGATGATGGACCACAGGTTCTCAATGGGGTTCAGATCAGGTGAACAAGGAGGCCATGTCATTAGATTTTCTTCTTTTATACCCTTTCTTGCCAGCCACGCTGTGGAGTACTTGGACGCGTGTGATGGAGCATTGTCCTGCATGAAAATCATGTTTTTCTTGAAGGATGCAGACTTCTTCCTGTACCACTGCTTGAAGAAGGTGTCTTCCAGAACTGGCAGTAGGACTGGGAGTTGAGCTTGACTCCATCCTCAACCCGAAAAGGCCCCACAAGCTCATCTTTGATGATACCAGCCCAAACCAGTACTCCACCTCCACCTTGCTGGCGTCTGAGTCGGACTGGAGCTCTCTGCCCTTTACCAGTCCAGCCACGGGCCCATCCATCTGGCCCATCAAGACTCACTCTCATTTCATCAGTCCATAAAACCTTAGAAAAATCAGTCTTGAGATATTTCTTGGCCCAGTCTTGACATTTCAGCTTGTGTGTCTTGTTCAGTGGTGGTCGTCTTTCAGCCTTTCTTACCTTGGCCATGTCTCTGAGTATTGCACACCTTGTGCTTTTGGGCACTCCAGTGATGTTGCAGCTCTGAAATATGGCCAAACTGGTGGCAAGTGGCATCGTGGCAGCTGCACGCTTGACTTTTCTCAGTTCATGGGCAGTTATTTTGCGCCTTGGTTTTTCCACACGCTTCTTGCGACCCTGTTGACTATTTTGAATGAAACGCTTGATTGTTCGATGATCACGCTTCAGAAGCTTTGCAATTTTAAGAGTGCTGCATCCCTCTGCAAGATATCTCACTATTTTTGACTTTTCTGAGCCTGTCAAGTCCTTCTTTTGACCCATTTTACCAAAGGAAAGGAAGTTGCCTAATAATTATGCACACCTGATATAGGGTGTTGATGTCATTAGACCACACCCCTTCTCATTACAGAGATGCACATCACCTAATATGCTTAATTGGTAGTAGGCTTTCGAGCCTATACAACTTGGAGTAAGACAACATGCATAAAGAGGATAATGTGGTCAAAATACTCATTTGTCTAATAATTCTGCACTCCCTGTATAGAGTCTTTATATCTTTGTTAAAGTATCATTTTTCTTCATCTCCTGAAATTTGAGTTTTTATTTCGATTCTTGTTGGAGTGGTTGTATTTCTCCAATGTGTGGCCAAACACATTTTTTTCTGCCACCAAGATGTTAACACATATCTATTGTATCTTCCTGTAACAGGTAAATCGATATGAAACAGGAAAGCTTGTGGCGTAAGGCTATATTCTATAGAAAAGAAGGTTATTAGTTGTTCTTCAATACATTTTTTGATTGGAGCCAGTGTATCTGGCATTCCCACAAGATGTGAATTTGTTTGCCTGGATAGTTTTGGCAATGCCAACAAAAAATATCTAAATTTGTATCAAACCTTGCTAGGCGTGTAGGAACCATATACCATCTCTGTATTAACTTGAAGTATTGTTCATGTAGACTGATACAACGCATGGCGGTTCTCGTGATTCGCCAGGCATTGTTCCAAATCTCTAAAGAAACCGTAAAAGCACAGTCTCTCTCCCAACTGGAAACCGCTCTTATTTAGAATTATGCCAATTATAGCAATTGTTTTAGAATTACGTTGTGTAGTGTGAAGTATGTCTATTAATCCTGGATGACTTGTTAGATCTGAAGTAAGAAAATGTTGAATCCTAATATTTTTAATTATTTCTCGTGATGGAAGAGCGTACATTTCCTGCAAGTTGGAAAAAGATCTTAAGGATTGACTATCCTAAAGACCTACCATAACCTTTCTTATGGTGCTTACAGTTACCCTTTAAGTAACATGTGTATCCTTGTTAGTATGCATTATTTTACCAGCTGAAATGTTGCTGTTTTGTGAAATGTTGTAAAAACTCTTTACAGCATATGATCTTTCTCTTGCAGAAGAAAACACACTGGCGAACCAGCAAGAGGAACAAGAAGGAGAACCAGCAGGTAAATAAGGTTTTGCTTTTGAAAAAATGATGGCCCTGGAAAGTACAGTGAATGCCTGTTTTATATTATCATGTTATTCTTAAATTACACTTTGCTTATCACGTTGAGATTAGGACATATTTGAATGAATCAGATGATGCTAGATATCAGTTGTTTATTTGGATTTAGTCTGATGGCTTCTGCAAAGACATAGAAAAGCATGTTTTATGCTAATTCACAAATGATCAGGACCTCTTCTCAGGTCACCCTCATAGATCATCCCTGGTCCCATCCAGTGCTTCTCATAGAAATGCATTGGGGAATGCACAGCCAACGGGATACTTCTCATAGAAAAACATGGAATCCAATGCTTCTCAAGTAGAAGCAATCACAGTGTTCTTTGGCAATATGCTTTAATGTATTTTGTGAAATTAAATGTATTCTTTAAAGTCTCAGTCACCTTCATGTATACACCGGGAATGATTAACAGTCTGCAGAGGGACCATTTCCCCTGCCAAGAGACAAGTCCTCTCATTTAATGTCTGCAAATGTGCTCAAAAATGCCAGCTCACCCTACATCCAAACAGTAATGAGTAATGCCAATGAACTGTTGGCATTACATCCACATTTCAGAGATCTAAAGGAATGATATTGCACTTTGTAAATACTTTTTTTAATATCTGTGTGTCTGTGTGTGTGTGTGTGTGTGTGTGTGTGTGTGTGTGTATATATATATATATATATATACATACACACACACACACAATTTGTTGGTATTTTGCACTTCTGCTTTCCTCTTGGTTAAATGCCGGTGCTCAGCTGCACAAAAATTAAATCTGCCAAATTAAGCCAGCACTCAAGGACTTCTAAAAAAAAAAAAAAAAAAGGGTTTTAATCCATAGAATTTGTCAACGTTTGCTGATGTAAACTGAAACGTTGACAAGTTCTATGGATTAAAACCCTTTTTGTTTTTTACAAGTCCTTAAGTGCTGGCTTCATTTGGCAGATATATATATATATATATATATATATATATATATATATATATATATATATATATATTACATATATATATATATATATATATTACATATATATATATATATATATATTACATATATATATATTACAAGATTGGGGATACTGTGCACTTTTTTCCCCAAAAAATATTTGACAAATGATAAAAGCCTAAATGAAAAAAAATTTACTTTCATTTTTGTCTGAAAAGTAATCTATAAACAAAATTATTGTTTTAGAATATATTCATGTGCCAGATATGTACTGCATGTTTCCAATGCTAATATTATAGTAGTAGAGAAAGGGGTTGCATATCACCCTCCAACATCAATTGTTCTGGCTCTGTGATAAATGTTCCCATACATTTCTTATCCTATTATTTCTTTTTACAATGAGCCCTATCTCAGGTGTGTTTATCTTTTGTCAAACTCTGTGCTTGTTTCATTATTTTCATATGTAAAGACACCTTATACAAAATGGATATATTAAAAAAAAAAAATAAATAAATATATATATATATACACACACAGCTGAATACATGTAAGTTTAATAAAGCAATTGCTCTTTCCACTCATCTAACCTGTCTGCCAAGTAGTATATTGATATAGCTGTGTATGATGCACAGGCTTAGGTTCTCACCGAGTCAAAACGCAAGGTTCTCTGTACCTCTAGGGAAATGGCTGAGGCATGAGCCCCCCATATGAATATCTGTATGTCTGCTCCCATATTTGCTCATGTCCATTGAGCATACTGTTGGTTATCAACATTTTCAGTCGCTGCTATTGCAGAGACACGTAAAAAAACCGGGGCTGCTGATCTGTGCTGTATGAGATTAACTGACCTCTAGTTACGGCTAGACCAACAGGGACTGCAAGTAATCATTCTAAAAACCGTTCATGTTGAAAACTGGGGAAGGGTTTAAAACTTGTAATGCCTATTTTGCATGCATACTTTTTTTGTTTTTGTGTGTGTGTGTGTGTTTGTGCACGCATGGGTGTGTGCGTTTATGAACTTCACTGAGTGTTTTAACAGTTGTCTGTGACAGCAGAAACTCATTATAGTAACATAATACTTGTGTTAATGATCCTTGTCCTGTCTCCCCACTGGATCAGCTATGTCAAGTTAAAAACAAAAAGATATATTAAAAAAATTATTCCTCCTCGGTCATTTATCTGCGTAGATACCAGTAATAAAACTGCTTTGCAATTTATTTCATGATTAAGTTGATGATGAAAATAGTGTTTTAATTATAGAAATCAAAGATTATCAATGCAAATACTTGCCATTTGTTTACATTAAGGAAAACCAAACATTCTTCATAAGGAAATACAACCATTATATTGCCACATCCCACAACATTTTTAGGGTTGGAAGTGGTCATACATGCACACCACTGCTGACGCAAATGCATGATTTGGAAATGTATTTACATATGCGTGTGTGCAGGGGTGCAACAGGAGTCTAAAATCATGGCAATGTTGCTGATTTCAGGTCCTTTAGGAAGCTAGAGTTTATTTGCATGGAGGAAAGTGTGTTCATTTTTAATTGATATGCAGACGTATTGTTGCCCTGTGCACTTCTGTGATCATGGCACTCACAGTCTTGTAATGGCCTGTGTGAATTCTATGGCTTTACGTATTAGGGCAAAATAACAATCATCTGTTCCTTAACAGGTCTTAAAATTAGGTTACTACTAACGCAATTTATTTAACAAAAATAAAGCCAAAATGGAGAAGTCATGTGTGGAAAATAAGGTACATCCTTACTGCTTCCATAGGAATTAAAAGGCTAAGTAGAAGTGGAAGATTTTTCAAAAGTGGAAAATATTCAAAACAGTTGCCAGTTTACTGGAGTAAACATTTCAGCAAATGCACCCCAAGGTCAGACCATGCAATGCTCGGAGAAATTGCAACAAAAAAAATGAGCATGTCCGCATGACTAGGTGTGCAAAGTTGCATCTAAACAAACTAAAGCAAAATGAGTTCTGGAAAAATGTCCTGAAAAGACAAGATCAAAGTGGAGATGTTTGGCCATAATGCACAGCACCACATGTGGTGAAAACCAAACATTGCATATCAGCACAAACACCTCATGCCAAGTGTCAAGCACGGTGGTGGAGGGGTGATGATTTGGGCTAGTAGCCACAGGACCTGGGAACGCTGCAGTCACTGAGTTGACCATAAACTCCTCTGTATAGCAAATTAGTCAAAAGTCAAATGTGAGGCCATCTGTCCGACAGCTAAAGCTTGGTTGAAATTTGGTCATGCAATAGGTCAATGATCCCAAGCACATAAGCAAATCTACAACAGAATGGCTGAAAATGAAAAGAATCAAGGTGTTGTAATGGTCCAGTTAAAGTCCAGACCTCAAACTGATTGAAATTCTATGGCGGGACTTTAAGAGAGCTTGGCATAAACATATGCCAGCCAACCTCAATGAACTGAAGAAACGTTGTAAAGAAGAGTGGGCCAAAATTCCTCTAGAACGATGTGTGAGACTAAGTCATACAGAAAACAATTAAGCTATTGAATCATAAGGTGTACTTAGTTTTTCATACATGACTACTCCATTTTGGCTTTTTTTTTTTTTTTTGTTAAATCATGACGGTGCGATATGTAATGTGTGGTTCCTCATCTTAGGTTGAGGCTACAGTAGCAAGAATCAGATGTTAAAGCACAAACTCAGTGATAAGAAATAGCTGTGAGGTTTCTTGTGATTTACCCGCAGAACTGTCTTTTCATTATTGCAGTAGGCAAAAACATTAGTATTGCAACCAACGAATGTTGATGTGCTTCCTCTATATGCATGATTTTACCTTATGTACCCCAAAAATAAATGAATCAGTTGGGTGCATGCGCTGTGGAATCTGTAGTTCATTCCAGTAATGCTTATTTTCCTTTCTTAATGTGACAAAAGCCAGTTCTGCATGCTTGTGGTTGGTCCTTAATTTAGATTTCCCCTTATTTTTACAGATACTTAAGAACGCCAAAAAGACTGCCCCTAAATCAAGAGGACCAGCCCTAACCAAATTCTTCACAAGGGGAGCAGATGACTTCATAGAACATATGAAGTAAATTGCAAAGCAGATCCTGACCCTGTGGGAGAGAACTCTTACTTTAGTCTTGGAAGTCTGTGTTTTTAGATGTTTTTATTTTTCTGATCCTTTCACCCACTACATTTTTTTTTTTCTCCTTTTCCGGCATAGACAAAATCAGTGTGTTTTATTTTATATGTGCATATGTACTTACCAGACAGTTGTTAATAATATATTTATGAAGTAGAATCCATGGATTTTGGTTTTAGATATTAATGTATATGTTGTATTGTGAGTACATGCATTTTATTAGATGTTTTTTCTTTAATATTAAGTGTTTGCTTGAGCCAATTGTGACAATGTTTAAAGTGTACTAGCCAAATAGTGAATTAAGTAATACATGTAACAATTACAAAACAAAAAAAATAATAGTTTGGATTATACAATGTGATTAGTTGTTTCATGACCAGATCTAATCACATTTTATTGATGTGTACACATATACATTTAACCGTAACTTATAAGTATGCGTACGCAATTTAGAACACTATCGGTTATAATCTGAATGAAGAAATAGGCTCCCTTTTAAATGTGATGTGATTCTGTTTTTGCGTTTCATGGCTGTGAATAGCAAATTAAGTTATTCGTTCGGCAATAGCCATGTGGTTTATTAGTAAAAAAATTTTTGAAAAAAATCTAACATGCAGAGTTGTATTTTGCAAGGCACATAGCCTGATTTTAATAATCATGCAGGCCATTAAAAAATTTTTTATATATAAAATGGCAGACTCCATTATGGTCCTCTTTAATGACCAACCAAACACTTTCGGAGACATCCATGCACTTTTTTTTGTATATCAGACATGCTTTACATGTCAATCTACTATGCACAGACAATCAAGCATTTCATGAATGCTGTTTGATAAAGACTAATGCCAGGCCTCCTTTGTATCAAAAGTTAAAATCTCCCCAATGCCCCTCAAGTAATGAAATGGTTAAAATATTTTTTGTATGATTGGTTTTCTTAATTTGTCTGGTCTGCTCAGTACTCAGGGCTCTTAAGTATAGTGTGAATGAAATCTTTCGATACGTTGCTGCCAACTGCAGCACCATGTGAATTGGTTGACTTAGAATGCATTTAAAAATCCTTATTGCAACTGTGAAAACGGCAAGATATTCACAGAAGCTATATGTTTGGGCTGTGAATAATTTGGGTTTATTACACCATTCATACAAGACCTTGCTTTTCCATAAGATAAGCTACATGTAGGAATAGCCAGAGTATACCTAGCACAGGTAGACTGCAATTTCTTTTTTATTTTAATTTTTTATATTTTTTTGCATTTTTAAGAATATCTGTAGATGTACATGTTGGCTTTGTTGCTTATTGATGGTTTTACACTGGTGTTCTGTTTCATTCATTGCGTTGTGGTATTTCGTATATGAATACTTGAACATATAACATCTGATATTGTACGGGGTCAGTTAAGTCAAACGCGTTGGGAACTGAATAAAAAATGGTATTGGGTTCTTTTTAGTCAGTGGTTTAACAGCTAAATAATTGGGTGGGCATCTCATCCCAGGGTGAAACAGAAAGCAGTTATATTCCAAAGTTGTCATTCTGCTTTTGATAGGAACAATCAACTTGGTCATCATGTTTTAAGATGGGTTATTCTAACAGAGCCATATTTTATAGAGGGGAGAGTGTTTAAGTTT